CCAACTGGGTTGACATGGTACGAATTCGTATTTCGGATGACGGTGGGGCAGGATCATATGTCAGCTGCACATCCCCTGGGGGCGATGAGCACGGCCTCGGGAGGGTGGTGGATCCTAAGTCTTCTTAAGAAAGGAGAACCTATGCGACGGCAGCGGCGGCGACGGGCGGCACTGCCCGCAAAAGCCGCCACCCGCCCCGAGCGGCGACGGCGGCGACAGCAGCGACGAGCAGCACCGCCTGCAAAAGCCGCCACTCACCATGAACGGCGGCGGCGGCGGCGACGGCGACGGCGGCGACGGGCGGCACCGGCGACAAAAGCCCCCACTCACCCCGAGATGGTTAAGCCAGTAAAAACCCCGAAGTACAAGCACTGTTTGGGGAATGCTGGTAAGCCTACTAGCATTATACAGATTTCCCGTACTTCTGAAGAGCAATACAATATTGGGTAAATCAATTATGCGGCCGATCTCCTACTCGAGCGAAGCAAGGACCTCCCAGCACGCAGCCTGCCCTCCCGTTTCCCAGTGGCCGCCCTGCTCCCCCTGGGAGCATAGCGCTGCTTTTCTTCATCACCCTGCGCTCCGCCGCACTCGGGCAACCACCGCAGCCCAGACATCACACTCGCCCCGCCTGCTTTTCTGAGGACGGCGGGGGCGCGTAAGTGAGGGGCAGCGATGGGAGGAGCGACTGGCAGAACGGGGGACACATCGACCTGGAATCGACGATACATCTCCGATACATCGGCGAAAGGCCCGCGATAGTGCATCCGCACGTTCCTGTGCAAGTTGGGGCTATCTGGCCCCTTATCGGCGATTAGGGATCAATGCATCCCCCCCTATGCCTATCCCCCCTTATCGTTGCCCCAGAGCCAGACTCTTGGGCCCGCCCGCCCACCATGCTGAAGGGCGCGCGGGACCTTACCTCGATAGCTACCTTCAAAGCTTCAGCTCCCCCTTCTATCCCCCCAGGAGGTTCCGTCATTCAGCCGCCCGGTTGCGCACAATCTCCTTCTTGAAGCCGAGAACGACTCCAAACTGGCGACCAAGACGACATAATGTTCCACATCTGTCCCAGCATCCTTTTCGAAACCCACTTCCGCTCCATTTGGCCCCTCGTGGGCCCCTTCGTGGGCTCCAAGACCGACTCGCTACGCCCCGTAGGGTGCCTCTTCGGCCCAACGTTGCGGATACGTCTGAAGATTCAAGCACACTGCAAGGATCCATGACTTTTGGACTTTCGCTCGGCGGGGGGCCGTCTGGGGGCCTCCTCTAGTAACGTGTCGGGCTCGTCTGCGGCATTTGTTGGGTATGGAGTGTTCTACGCCGTTGCGCATGCACTCTCGACTCTCCTGCAAGGCGAACACATGCCGAAAGCACAGACCCCCCGGCGCCCGAATAATCAGAATACGAATAGCAATAACAGCAACAACAATACCAAAGCTCAACACCGACAGTCATACGAATAATGGCAACACGTTTACTGTATGATAATAATGACATGGGTGGTAATACTACACATCGTGGTATTACGACTACTGCGAATTACAACAATACCAATAATAATGCTTATACTACTATTTCGAATATTATAATACTACTAATGATAAGCAGAGGAAGTCCTCGTCGAAGAAGGCATGACAAGAAAATGAGTAGAAGCAAACGACGAGTAACAATACAACGAGTGGTAATAGTAGAAGAAGACGAAGCCTTGGTGTAAGCACCAGGCATCACATCCAACCGCATCTGGAACTCGTTTGGGAGCCGATCCTGGCCCCACCTTGGGCCCAAGTCGAGCCCCAGAGCGACCTGGTGTGGGCCTGGGAGGAGCGACGCTGCCATGAACCAGTGCTGCAACCTGAAAACCGCGACGACGGCAGGCGATTGCCGGGCAGGTTGCATGATTCTAGCCTGAGGAGGCGGAGACGGGGGGGCCTCGGAGGCAAAACAGAGGAGTAGGGATAGGACGAGAAAGGGGAAAGGAGGAAAGGACGCAGAGGAAGAGGATGGCGAGAGGAAGAATGCAGGATAGGAGAAGGAGGAGGAGGAGGAGGAGGAGGAGGAGGAGGAGGAGGATAGGAGGACAGGAAGAGGAGGAAAAGGATAGGAGAAGAGGAGGAGGAGGAAGGAGAGGAAGAGGAAGGGGAAGAGGAAACAGGGAGGAGTAGGAGGAGGAGTAGGAAGAGGAGGAGGAGGCGGAAGAGGAGG